TATGAAAATTTTAGATCATCTGAGTAATCTTAATAAGCATTGTCTTTGAGCTGGAGGTGATCCAAGTGAAGATATATGATGAAGATAAGGCACTCAAGCTCATCTTGTCACTTTCACCTTCTTATGAACACATGAAGTCGATCTTGATGTACGGGAAGGATATTTTAAATTTTGCCGAGGCTATTAGTAAACTATTGTTAGAGGAAAGAAGGTTGAATAGTGAAACGCGTCATATAAAGATTCAAGATGGGTAGCTAGCAGTTGGAAGAAAAAAAAAGACTCTGCGTGTAAAAGAAAGGTTGATATTAGAGATGCAGACATTCCGGGCACATGAAAAAAGATTGTCCTAACGAAGTCGGTTTGTCAAAGGGTTCTGGGTCGAATGCTGAATATGTTTCTCTCGTCAAGGGTGATGATGATCAGTTCCTCTGAAGAGAGAGAATTCATCCTCATGGCATGTCTGCTTTACCATGATAGATGATATGATGTTAGAGGTTCCACAAGTTTACACACGGGCATTGGCTTGACGGTTATGCAGGGTGTGTGGTGGAAGTTATGTCGATCTGACGAACTTCCAAATAAGCCAAGTAGGTGAAAGTTGGACCATAAATTTCAGCAGAATTTATCGATATGTGACAAGGAAGAAAAATCTTTGAAGACGACATTCCAAGTGGCCCACTTTTATGGTGGAGTAGGTTATAGTTCTCTAAATTGAGAATTATGATTGTCGGTGAAGATAATAAGTGCAATTGAAGTTGTGAATTCTTCAATATCTTGTCAATTTAGAGAACTATTAAAATTGAAGTTTGTCCCACGTCGAGAAGATACAACGAGGAGTGTGCTCCAACTACTATAAAAGGAACTCAAAACCTTGGGTTTTATTCACCCCAATTGAAATAAAGCCTAGCATGCTAGTTTTAGTTAATTGAGCCGTATTTCACTTGAGAGTATTTTGTGTAATTGGGATCGGTGAAAGGAATATGTGTGATTGTAATAATTTTTCACATAGTGGATTTCCTATGCAAGTCGTAGTTTTTTTTTCCAATTTGAAGTTTTCTACTTTAATTCTTGTGTTTTATTTATTATTGTTATTTATTTTAATTCATCAGTTATTTTCTGTTTATTCCAGTAGGAATATATTGTTTTTTTTTCCTATCACTAAAGAGCATGTGCCCCTCCTCAATTTTAATTATTATATTGTATATATCTAAAACACAAATCATTGTTTTTAAAGTATGTATATTACTATAATATAATACAAAAAATTGTTCGGTCCGGTGGCTTCTTCCCTACTCATTCTCCATATTTTTTGCAGTTGTAGTATTCCTCTGATCCTCTGCTCCTCTGCAAGTACACCCATCTTCCACTACAGTTTTGGTTGCATATTGTTTCGGGATAAAATATCCAATTGGCATGTGGACGATAGAGACTGGCAATCAGAAGAGATTGTTTAGGAGAGTTGTTTTGTAAAGCTCCTCCTGGGAACTTTCCGAGGAGGGAAGTTCATTACTCCTAATTGTGTTACCACCTCGAAAGTATCCAAGTGCGATCTACTTGAACCCGACATATCCGACCTCAAAATTGACCAAGGTAATTGCCTGTCGTGACCCTTGTCGAGATCCAAACCTATAAATAGAGGTCTCATTTCACCATTAGGTATCGATTTTCTCCTCGAACTTAATGGTGAGTCCGAACTACTTACTGACTTGAGCGTCGGAGATTTTGCCCTCTTGTGCAGGTCTCCCCAATCTTTCAGGTCGTAGCTAGGATCGGGTTCGAGGCAAAGAAGCATAAACACATATCTTAAAAAATATATTTTTTTTATGTATATGTATCTTTTCTCCTCCATAATTAAATATTGTTTTTTATTCTTTAGAAAAAATGGAAGTGGCACTTTTAGTTTATAAGAATTAGAAAAGACGGTCTCTTTTAAGACTTTTTTTTTCAATTCTTGAGGTTTAAAAAAAATTAAATTTTATTTTGGTCTTTACAGAAAATAGTGTACTATTTTTGTTTTTTAAAATATTTTTTTTTTGAAAAATGACATGTTTTTTTTCCATTTAAAATACGAAATTTTAAATGATACGCGACAACCCAAGCGTATTGAGCTACTCGAGCCATAAGCCACTTGAATCGAATCGTAGAGATGGTTCAACTCGAAAGGGTAAGAGTTAGAGGGATTACCTTTGCACTCTACCTTGAGTAGACAGAATACTCACTATACTCGAGGCCGAAAACACTCCACGAGTTTCGTGACCAATCAAAAAAGCATGGTCCGAGGGGTTCAAATACGAAAGCCTAAGTTCAACCACACAAATAGATTCGAAATTTGAGTAGGGGTTTGCACGAGTCAAGGGTGAGAACACTTTCTATTCAACTTCAATAATCCAAGGGTTTGTTACAAAGGGGATTACACGCCTATATAAAGACTAAGGCCCTTGACCTTTTAAGGAAAATAACAAAATTAAAAAGAAATAAAAATTGATAAATTCCTAAAGTAGAGACCTTGCCTAAAAGTAAATTTTAAAAATCATAAATAAACAATAAATCAAAGATAAAATCCTAAATCAAATCTCCCCAAAATAAACCAAATTCATAAGAAAATATTTTCCTTATTTGGGAGGAGTGGGCGACAAGGTGG